TAATATATATATATATATATATATATATATATATATATATATATATGTATGTATATATATATATATTTGTTAAAACGTTTGTAATATATACATTAGAGCTAACAGTTAGTACGTCATAAAAGCTTTCTTAGAACTGCGAGATTCAGAATCCTTCATAAATATATTAAAATGTTGCGCTTGGTTCATAATCGTGATTTGAAAGATCTTAATTTGATAAAATAGTTTAAACACGAATATCCGATCAGATTTACAACATACTTAAAAATCGCTTTACTGTACAATCAACAACACGATTATCTCGTATCTCTCATGCGATAGATATCTCAAATACTTCCTATTTCGATATAATCTTGTACAGATTTGTAATAAATGGTTGGATGCTATCTGCTGGGTCGTTGCTCTTCCACAAGCGCTATTAATCGCTGTCGAGTTTTCTTATTATTTTGACACGTAGCCGAAATTAATCCGACTAAATGTTTAACTGAATATTCCTACAAAACACAATCATACATTTTACGTTATACAATGCAGATCAGGCGTCGTACGTTTATAGTATCACGAATTAAATACCTTGTGCTCTTTGATCCATTCTTCAAAACTATTCTCAGGAAAATAGTAAGCTTTAATATATGACTCGGCATACTCTCTATGCGGCATAGGTCTCAACAATGTCACCTTCTCGAACTTTGATCTCAGCTGTGTGAAATCGAGTTGCATCAGAGCTCTACCACCATTCGAGCACTTTTTGGCATAGGAGAATCTAGAATGGTAATATAATACGTTTTATTTTTAAGATGGATTTAATACATTTATAATATTAAAGAATTCTCTCTCTGAGAAATATAACAATAAAAATTTTCTATACCCTTCCACTAAAGTGTGTGTGATTAAGTGAGCCACGTTTTCCCATACTGCATTACAAACATCCACGCTTAAAGGAATATATGTTCCAATGGTGTTAAGTCTTTCGTTCAAAGTGCATACCTCCTATGAAAAGTATTAAATAATTTTTAATATAACGAATTATAATGTCTCTGTTAAACAAATTAGCGACACATACTTGAATTAGCGTGTCGATGTAATTAGAGTGTTGAGACATGACGTCCGTCACTTCCCAATTTACTTTGCTCATTAAATTTAAGATGTTCGCAACGTCAAATGCTTGCGATGCTACCGCCATGTAAACTGGTTTTCTCAAATCTGCAGTGGACGCTACTGTTTGCATATAAAACTGATGCAAAAATCCTCTTTGAGGACTGTTGGCAATAAGATGCTCTAAGTAAGGCTTTAGGCCTTCGTATTGTTGTCCTAAAAATATTAGAGACTCGACAGCTACAATACGTTCCGTTAATCCGTGAAGTTTCTCAGGCTGCGACAAATTCACAATGGATGAAAGCTGTGGTTGTCTTACTTTTTCGTAATTTGCATTGCCATTTTCTTCCATTGTATCGTTCTCAGAGATAATGAGATTTTCTCTGATTCGCGTTAAAGATAACTTTAATTTCGGGCTGTATAATGAATCGCTGTTGATTTGCTGAAAGAACAGACATATTCTAAATCACACTCTAGTTGTGTGAACACGATTAAGAATCATAGAATGTAAACTTACGAGATCCGATGTAAAGAATAAATGTACTGTGTAGAAGCATAGTTCGAAAAATTGTATCATGCTCTGTATGACAGTAATCGCGATCGATCGTAAAAGCCTGGACATCTGTAGGTACTTGCCGCACACTCTCAGTATGCTTAACGTCGTGTTCGTGACCATAGGTCCGGATTGTTTGAGTTTGCACTTCTTTTTATTAACTTTCGTATGGTCCGACTCATCGACGTAATCGTGCTTCAGTTCATCGGGAATATCATCATCAGACTCGTCCGAAAAGTATGCGGGTTGATCAATCTAGATAAAAATACACAGATGATCAATAATACAGATCATTTTGAAAATTGTTAAGATATATTATTCAATGGCTTTTGTACATCATCGTGTATTAAGATATCTTCATCCATAGTATCGTCCAATCCTATCGTGAACGGTGACGAGCCGCCCTCTAAATATTTCTGCAAATCGATGCCCGTAGAATTGTCGCTGTCGCTTAAGTTTGAGCTGTCTAAACTGTTCCACATTTTACAGTTGTTAAGTGAAGGTTTCAAACTACGAAACTCTAATAACTGGGTAGCCATGAAATTGGACTTTACAGGGCACAATTCCCAACCGTCATTTTCCAGGAATATTCTCAGCTCATCCAAGCGAGATGCGTGATAATTAGAGAAATAGGATAAGGACTGCTTTCTAATGGATTCCTGTAAATTCTCAGATTTGAAACCACAAAGCTCTTCCCCAATTTCCATCAATCTGTAATTAAAATTAATTAACAGATATTTCAAAGATGATTTATTTGATTTATTCATTATCAAGTGATAAATACATTGTTATTTATTATCGATTCACTTACCTATTAACTATACTCAATATCTGAACAAACTGTTCAAACTTGATGTATGTCAAATTAGCATTCATCAGATATATTGATATCTTTGTTTCCACATCCTGCCACACGCGAACTTTGGTATGCTCTAATTTTTGCTTAACATATTGCTTATTGAATGTCGCCTCCAAATCCTTAACGTCGGATTTACACTCCAATTTGTCCTCTTGCGCATTGTGCCAATTTACAATTAGATAACACGATATCAATATTGTCCACAATGATTTGCACAGCTCTGTTAGACAAACTATGTATTTATCATGGGGAACATCCTGACACACTTGTTTATATTGTCTTTTCATGTCGCCTCCTGCATAAGAGTGAATGACAGTCAACGCAGTGCTCTGAATGGCAGTGGTAAAATGCATATGCAATTGATCCATGGCGGATTGAGTCTTCCCTAGTAACATATATGCCTCTTGAACAGAAGAGTATACTGTCACATCGAATTGAGTACACATAGTAGAGAGTGTACTGTCTAAGGCATCTTCCACTTGTTCTAAAATCTCTTGTAATTTCCCATTCAATGCAGCGATACAATGGAAATGCTTATAAGTTTGAGCTGCTCTTTGGCATTCCAAAAGAAGCGATATGGCTCCAGGATAATTTCCTTCTTTTAGTAACTCTTGTAGACGATCTCCCGTACGTTGCTGATAACACATACATTAGTTACACATGTGATATAGAAAAATTTTTTCTGTTTACTTCATGTGAGGTTAAGTTAAAATATACATCATTCCTTAGTATAAAGTTTGAAAGATGAATATAAAATATAAAGCAACTTACCAGCGTCTTTATAGTATTTAGACTGTTTAATAGTTCCTCAATTACTTGTCGTCTCTGATAATTAGCTAATATGCCTAAGCTGGCTGTTGTAAACTGTTTTTTGGCTAATGTTAAATCTGCTCTTCCCATTTTACATATTTCTAGAGCATCTTGCAATTGTTCCTGCAGCAGCAGAATCTTGTCGAATTCTACTTCACAGGCACTCTGGTTTTCTACAATAAGCTTGAATACTTTCTTAGAGACTGCTTTATGTTGTTGCTTGAGTTTTTTGTAACATTTCTCAAGTTCTTTAGGATGCAATATTGTTGGTAATTTCTCTAATTCATAACGTATTGGATTAAATTTACTATCAGTAGTATCAAAGTAAATATCTTCAATAGAATCTAATATATCTTGATCTGGTATAGGCTCGCTCTCTGTTGACTGATCAGCCTCTGAACGAAGATCTTCATGTTTTTGTGGGTCAGGTGGATTAAGCAAATCGGGATTTAAACCCATAAGCGGTATTTTAGTTGCATTCTAAAATGTAACCAATAATCATAGATTATATATTTATTTTAATAATATAAGAAATTAAGTATTACTTTCTTGGAGATAAGTAATATAAAATTATAAAAATTAAACAAATATTCTTTAGAATTATACATTGCATACACATTGTTTTCACACGACCAATATCAAAACTATATTTTTTCAATTAATTATTAGCAATTACACATTATTAGCAATAATTTCCTCTAAAGTAAATTAGGAAGGCAAAAAGAGTGGAATGTTGCAGAACATGACATTGTTTGACAGCGAAATGTCAAATTCAATTGTATGTCGCATAACCTAACCTCTGCAATAGTGCAACGCAGTAACATTTACTTCGTACAATATTTAATTATGAAATATTATTCGCAAAAAATAACTTGCCTGCTTGTTAATGAGGCCGAAAAACTTAAACTTCAAATCTTCCATGATGTCAGATTGCATTGTGACCGTCAAACCAGACACACATTCTCATCTGTTTACTTGATCGCACTCGGCTGATGCGCCTTGCGTTAGCGTGACATTTCTAGGAAGTAGAAGCGGTATAATCTCGATCGGACATCGATGATCCTTTCGGTCACTATTGGCGAAGATTTTAACTTGTATTTTGAAAAACTTATTATTTGCGCTCGTCCACATGCAATACGCGAAATAATAACAATACCGTCAAAAGATTATCAACAACGATCCCTTTTGAAGTTAGCCAAGCATTTATTGGCATTTATACCACGTATTTCAAGAGCCTTAAGTTTCCAATAGTGGATGCGCTCTACGCCGCTATGTTCAGGTGTGTGCACAGAATCAGATCGAACGACGCCCATGGATCACGTTTCAGTTGAGTTATCTTTGTTTTACATTATAAAGAAGGAAGAACAGAATCTTTAATCGATTCATAATCGATCCATAAATATGAGATCCTTATAGATGCATGCAAATGATTGTTAACTACATATATAGGTAATGTCCATATTATGCAATAAGTATTCTTAAAATGGTGAAGGGTAAAAATAAAATAGTAACGAGATCAAGTAGCTACGCAGGGTTGCCCAATCGATTGCAATCTACCGGTCGATTCTTTGTGATAAGATCTTCACACTTTGATTTTTATTTCGTTTGATTCTATTATAAAATTTATGTTTGTAATTTTTATATTTATTTTGTTCCTATTAATTTATATTACAACACTTGGTTTGTCTCGATTAATATGTTTGATAAACGTTGAAATCACATCTTAATTTTGTATTTTTTCCTCCGTATATGGATAGATTGCGTGTCGCTCTATCAAAAAAAGTAGCTCGCATGTACAAAAAGATTAGGCAGCACTGCTAATATCGCATATGACGTAGGATATCCTAGACATAGCAAGTCGATTTCGTCGATGAATTTAAAATCATTAAATTTATGATACTAAATACTGGAATTTCTTCTATAATTAATTCCATTGAATAAATTTTCATTTTTATATTTTTGACTGTACAATTATTATTGACGAAATAATATGATTCATATATTTTCAAACAAGTATTATGATTTGTTTCGGAAAAAGTTATTTGTATTAATATAACATGAACTTTATGTTGAATCGGACAGACATGTAATATGGATGTAATTACTTGCCGTTATGTCATTTCTCTGGAATAATCTTTTGAGGAAAAAAGAAGTGTGGCAGAAAAAAAAAAATAAAAAAAGATGTGTGGGATGCGTTGTGATCCAAGTAATATCACGTAATATCAGGTAATAACTTGGATATCGGTGGTATCCAAGTAATTACCTGAATCGCAATTCATCTTCCTGAAATTTAATAAATCGACTTTCGAGGTTAACAGGCTTCATAAAATTCCAACATTAAAGTAAAAAACTTCTATATTAGAAGAAAAATGGTTTTCTGATAAAATTATAAATTGTATTACATTTACAAATTTATTTGATTATTTGATAGAATATAATGTTTATATAACATCATATAGTAGATATAATGTATTTGTTTTTATTATTTTTGCCATTTTATATATTAAAAATCATGCTTATCAATCATGTAATTGTTTTTAATATAGTTTGGCAATAAAGCTGTTATCTGATGTATAATATTTCAGAATGTATGGCAAATATGTCCCATGTGGTGTCAAGGATTTCATCTGGCTCTTTGCGCTTTGCGATTGAAAGTAATCGATATCGTTGACGATGTTATATCACATAAGCGATACTCGGCAATATCTACCACAATTAACATTATTATATTACGATGGAATAATTAGAATCAGATCGTCTAATGAAGTACCGAGCGTAATTTGAATGGCATCGTGTGGTATTTGAGAACGTTGAGCAGGAACGGAGATCCGGTCAGAGATAACAACAAACTCGCCATGAAATTATTAAGCGCCGGCGTATTATCACCGGCGTATTATCACGGCATAAAAGTATCTTGTAACAATAGGCAGAAGTTATCTATTGGATGAGAACAGGAGCGTAACAGCAAGTCATAGAACCTTGAAAAAAGTAGGTAAGTAGTGGTAGTAATCTTTGAGGCATAGATGGAAAATATTATAAAACTAATTTTATATAAATATTTGGCACTTAACAAACAGGATAAATCAGAGAATAACAAGACAATGAAAACTGGAAGCATGATTGACTTTCAGTCAACTTATTGTAGTTATACGCATTGTCCAGCTCATGTTACATCAGTGTGCGATGGCGATTGAAATCGATGCGACTGAGCGCAAAGCAAGCGTGGGTGTTCCAGGGTAAACTTGCGATCTCGCGTCGTGGGATTGGCCCTAGTCGGCGTAACCGGGTGGTCGATTGGTCGACTGGCCTCCACCACCACCGGGCCGGCGTACATCGCCGCAGGTGAGATCCGCGCGGCTCAAGGCGCGTAGCGCAGGTGTGTTCGCAGTGTGGTTGTGCACCCGCTGTCACGCGCCAGCCAGGGACACGGAATCTCCCTTCTTGCGGGCGTGAGAAGAAAAAAGAGGTGGCGAGAAGCAGAGCGAACGACGTGGGCTAGATCGTGAGCGACAGAGCGAGAGAAAGAGAGAAAGCAGGATTCCGCGAAAGGGCGAACTATAAGTGGTGGGAGCGACCCCGCCGTTAACATTCACACCCACGCATACACGCACACGCGAATACAGCCGAAGCGAAGTTCTCTCGGGGCGAGGAACCTTGCGCGAACCACCCCCGAGGAGTTACCTCGGTCTGGCGCACAAGTGCCAGCGGACAAGCAAGCGAGCGAGCAGGTGATTGTCGCTGGGTGACGATACATCACCGGGTTCGTGCTCGCGCGGAAGAACAAGACTCGCGGCGAAAAGGGAATTCCGGCGAGAGGAAGAGAGCTCGTGCGTGCTCGACTCCGTCACGGCAAATAAGAATAACAGTCTATCTCTGTACGTTCGTATCCGCGAAGAGAGGATGGTCCGGAGATTCTGCAACGGTGCGGTTGCACTTGGCATCGCCCTGACGGCCTGCGCCGCCTTTCCGCGCGCCGTCATGGCGATCGACCTCAGCCGCTTTTACGGCCACTCGAAACGCTCGGGTAAGTGATATATATTGCACATTATCGATGAAATTGACACCGCGAGAGTTAGGAAAGACTGCCGCGCGCGAAAGCACGCGAATGCGCTTTCAAGAAAGCACGATTCTGAGGCGCCGACGGGGCGCGAAATTGAACACGATTACGCACGATTAATCACGCGCTGAGTATCATATCGGCTGTTTTGTAAAAAACATGCTAAATTTTTTCTAAAACAAGAATCTTTTAATATAAAAAAAATATATATATGCAAAAAGACGTTACAATTTTAATGATATCTCCATTTCAAATAGTTTGGAGTTGTAGAATATCGAGTGGAAGCAATACATTATTTTCTGGCAGTTTATAACGTTTATAAAATTTTTATTTTACATAATTAAATATACAGCAATTAAAATTATCCGAAGTAGAAGTTTCATCAAGATTCACAAATAAATGTCGAAATAATTATTATATTTTATGCTTTTACGTCTTTTTAACAGTTACATATGTTAGCATTCGACAAAGCCATAAACTATTGTAGTTTTTTAAGCAGCATAGTTTTAATTGTTAATGATATATATTTAAATAAATTTTTATATTTCTGTTGCAATATTAAAGTCGGATAAACAGGATTAAGCACGCAAATGTTAGATAACTTGCGTATTATCTCTTCTGTCCGCTCAAACGCAGTGTTAACTACTGCGATAGCAGTAGTTCGAACTGAAAAGTTTGAGATTAACTTAAAAATTAATTAACAGTTTGATTGCAAAATTCTATCTAGGGAAACAAAAAAGTTGCTGTAGATATTAATTAAGTTAAAGTTGATTTCGCGCGAACTTGTTAATAAGTTTATTTTATCTTCTCGTTTCTGTCGGGATATATATATAAAATGTTTCACTTTTCTCCCTCTCTCTATTTATTCATTATTATTATTATGTAGTAATTCATGAATTATTTAAACTTTTCTTTAATAAGCTATCGAGAGGTAATTATTTCACAACTTTCACTTTTCAGTTGTTCCATTATTTATCTTTGTCATTAACAATAAGCCGCTCAAAATTCTGTTAAAGCTTGTTCCCTTGTAATTAACTGACAATGAAACGAATGATCCTGTCAGAAGTTGATTAAAAAAGAATTAAATTGCGAAAGAGTTAAAGGGGTTTATGCTTTAGCACATGGGATAACGTACGGCGTATAGACACACATAAACTTTAATTTTTATTAAATTAACATTTTACACATTAATGTTTTCTCATGATCATTCCCAGGCAACGTGCTCGTAACGGCATGGGCAGAGGAAACGTTTCCAGGAAACAGCAATGCTCTTCGCATTACCATCCTCCTGCAAACTTCTATTAAAGTTAACGGGCGCGTATATATATAGAGCGCGATTATATGGCAGAGCCGTTTCGCTGGAACTCGCGATCATATGGGAGTGTGCCCTCTCCGGCGGATAGTTACATGTCGCTCGGTCAATAACGCGCATACCTGGCGTATCCAAGCCGTATATAGCTGTTTGTACGCAGATGACATTTATATAGAAAAACGCGTTTTTATCCGACCCGCGTTTATTCAGGGTCGGAACTGAAGCAGGTCAAACGGTTGCTTCATCGGACCCATTTTTAATCGAACCCCTGCTAATCACCTTTCGTCTACTTTCCAGTCTTTTAATTCACGGAAATTGCCATTCTGTTTGGCGATCAAATGCAAAATAGAAGGTAAAAAGAAACAGATGCTTTTTAGAATTGAAAATAAAAAAACAATATGTCTTTTCCTTGTTGTCCAGTCAACGTTTATTTTAATTAAGAACTTATTTTAATGAAAAATTCTAAGTGTATTTTAATTAAAATGAATCAATAAGCAAAATGTATAGAATTAAAGAATAATAGAAATTCTCTTTACATACATTTGTCGATAAAGAAACATTGTTATATAAAATTTTAAAAGTTTCTTTTTTCACTTTTGCGTTTTATCGTCAAGGAAATAATAAGTACCGCAAATTTTCTGAGAGAAGTGTAAGCAAAAGCGTGCTTTCATCAAGAAAGTTGTTCATAATTCGTATTACTCGAACATAAAAGCTCAACAAAGTTTCAGCAGCTAGCAGAAAACTCCGGAACACGCGTCTGGAGAATTCAGAATTAAGAGCGGTGGTCGTCGATCGAAATGTTCTCATATAAAATTTATCATATCTGCCGCCGTGAATATCGCTCGGTTGTATGAAATAACAAGCAATCTTTTTTTAAATACTCTCTCGACGATCGTTTCATTCGGAATGCATTGAGGTCGGAAGTCGGTCCCGCGGCGACTATTCACCAGGGGAATCGAAGCTTTTCATTTGATCGGTAAAATATTTGCTTGCAATAATAACGTTTACGTCGGATTACGACCACGCGAAACTCCACCGTGCGTGGGCGTCTTATCTAAACATGTAACGAAAAAAAAAATTGCGACGCTTACGTAACAATTTTAATAACTACGTTCTTGCGACGCGATCTCCGATATGATAAATATTATCTCCAATATGACGAAAGACTTTTCCGTTGATTGGCAAAATATTTGTCTATAATATTGTTGAAACATGCGTGGGTGCCTCGTTTAAACACGAGAGAAAAAGGTGCACTTGTCACGTTAGCAATTTAATAACGCTGATGGCCTGCGATACGTTTGTCGGCGCGGCGGCTATCGAATTCTTAACACGTCCCTAAATTGCACGTCACCGGAAAGGCTCTGTGAATACGACGCCACGTATGTTTGCAGTGTAAATTACATTTACGCGCAAAATAAACGTGGGCGATCGTGTACAACGAATGTGGCACAATATTACACAATCGATCGTCGAGCAGCCGCTGCACTATAACGTGATGTTTTTCATTTAGCGCGGAAACGGAGATTGCAATCAAGATTAATTTCCGGTCGTTAATAAAAAAACTTTCTTTTGAAGTGGAAATATATGAAATAATTGAACGGATACTCATAAACTGTCACGTTGGGTTTATTAATTTTCTTTGTTCAGGTATTATAAATTGTTTGTACGGAATTGAATGTGTAGAAGGAAAAGGCTTTTTTCGAACAACTTTCACAAAATTTAACATAAATAGTTTTCTTATTTTGTAAATAGAAAAATATAAAAGATTTAAGCATAAAGAACATTAAAGAAAACAAATTTTAGTGACGAGTTTTTCAAGAAAAAAATAAATTTGTACAATTATTCTTACAAATAACAATTGAACATTTACAATTATTTTAATAGTTCTTATAGATCAGAATCGCGTCTTGTTAACTGATTTTTAAGAATCATTAACTCTGCACGCCGGTTGTCGCGTGAGCAATGCGATCGCGTGTTCCTCAATTATCTCGAAAGCTTCGCGTAGCCAGGTGCTTTGTCGTATTATCCGTATGCGTCGCGTTTATTAATTCTGTTTCGGATCCCTCGCTTAATGCGCTTTAATGCGTTATCGTCGTAATTTGATCATCCCGACGAACATATCTCGCTCTTTCTGAACTTTCACTTCCCTGAAGTAATTAACCCGTGTATACACATACGTGTTTCCTTTTAATTATTCGCACTTCGCGAAACACATGCACGCCTAATTTTACATCTAATGTGTGTATTTGTATATTTTAGATGCTTGCCATCCGTACGAACCGTTTAAGTGCCCGGGCGATGGTATTTGCATCTCGATACAATATCTATGCGATGGCGCACCCGATTGTCAGGACGGATACGATGAAGATTCAAGATTGTGCACCGCAGGTGAGCGCAGCTATTAATTTAATTAGCGATGTTATAATTTTAATATAAATATAAAATTAATTTAATGTTTAATATTAATATAAAATTCAATTAGCGATTTAAAAATTTGTATATAATTTATGAATTAAATTTGCTTGTGAAAAATACAACATAAAAAGTATAAAAATATAGCGTGAAAAATTTATCGTAAGATACAAAAGATATAAAAATATGATTTGTAATACATTTTATATTTTTGATGTAATATATATTAATATGTTTACAATTCGTTATAGATTTAACTTAAACACATATTATTTTGTAAACATATCGTTCGATGTGGATGCACTCGATGATGTTCGGTACAGCTGCACTAAACGTTACTATAAGGAGGAGGAGATGGTTGTTAGTGCACCCGTTTGGTGCATCTATACTGTGTGTTATTGTTATTTTTTCATTTATTTTTCGATTAATCATTCCCATGAATACTGATGAACCTTAATTTCTCTGGTTATTTTTTTAAATTAGAAAAAGAAAATTAATTTAACTTAGCTTTAAGTAATATTTATTTAGAAACAAAGCTGTTGTATTGATTTTGCATTTATTTCACTTTACAACAGTTACGGAATCTGCTTTCTTGCTGTTGCAGCCAAACGACCGCCCGTAGAAGAAACCGCGAGTTTTTTGCAATCTCTGCTGGCCAGCCACGGTCCCAATTATTTGGAGAAGCTATTTGGAACTAAAGCGCGCGATACGCTGAAACCTCTTGGTGGCGTGGAGAAAGTAGCCATCGCGCTATCCGGTAAGTTCCTTGAAGTAGAATAAAACGCGATTTTTATACAAATAGCAATACTAAATAAGATATCGAGCCGTCTGACCTATTTTACAATATCACAGTAAAGCAAGAAATCTTTCCCTCGTATTCTCTCTCGCTGAAAATCTATTTAAAAATCAAGATCATCACGTTGCGTAAAACAATCACGAATATCTTGGTATTTAATTTTACATAAAAATTGGCAGTTCAAGAAATCATTATATTTCTGTCAAGGATTATATATATACTTGAAAAATTTTGACAACATATATAGAGGAAGACGTATAGAACTTTATATATAGAGAGAATCCTTATTCTTCTACTTTATCCTCGAAAGATCCAATTTCGCAATTTCCTGGCCCTTGACGATCTGTTTCGGCCGTCAGAGTCGCAGACAATCGAGGACTTTGGAGCGGCGTTGCACTTGATGCGCTCGGATCTCGAGCATCTACGCTCGGTTTTCATGGCAGTGGAGAATGGTGACCTGGGCATGCTGAAGTCTATCGGTATCAAGGACTCTGAGCTGGGCGACGTCAAGTTCTTCCTCGAGAAGCTCGTTAAAACGGGCTTTCTCGATTGAATGGCCACCGTCGAATCATTGCTGCCGCCGCCGCCGTCATCGTCGCCGCCGCCGTCGTCGTCGAGGACGAGCTGCCGCCGCTGCATCGCCGCCGGTGTCGCATTATCGTCGTCACACCAGCCGACCCTTTATTTGATGAAGCCTAATTCGTCCTTTCCGATGGCACCACCGTCTTTCTTTCATCGCAAGTCCTCGTGCGCAGAATGTATCCTGTCATTTTTTCTTCCTATTCTATTCTTCTCGGGTCACTTACTCTGGCTTCAAAAACGCGACAAGTGCAACTGCAAGCACCGAGATAATCGTCGATACGAGCATAGAAATACGAGAGCGAATCGAATCCTGTGCACAATCGTGATAAGGCAGATTTCCACTTTGCATAATTCGTAGCTGTCGCATTTTGAATAATGAATTCTGTTACGCGCATATTTCGTAGCTGTCGCGCTCGGATAATTAATTGTTACACGCATCGAGCGTAGATCTGCTTAAAAAAAAAGAGCGATAATTGAAATGCAACTGATAGCTAATGTACCTTATATTCTTTCGGAGAGTTTATTATTGCGATTTTGCACGAATCTGCGTGAAAATACAAGCACGAAGAATATAATCGAACTAATTGAAAAAAAAAAAAAAACACGTAAGCTTTGTACAGTTTGCAATCTAATATTGACTATTGAAACTCAGACATCTAAATATTGACTATTAAAACTTGAAACTCGGACATTTAAAAGTTACAACGTAACATTTAATCTGGTTCACTCTCTAAACAATTACTAATTCTAAATGTGATCAAATTGTGAAATATTTCGACAGGACTTCCTCTCTTTCGCTTCTCTCCAAAATTTGATCAATCTCGATATGAACAAACAATGAGCATTTACCCGACCTATTTCTAAAATATTGAGTTTTCTCATGTATTTTACATCATAGGGTTACCCTCATGCGTACGTGTGCTTTGCGTGTCCCGGTTTGCTTCGAGCCCTTGTCCATACACGAGCACCGTATCATCCTGAATAAATAATGAGACGTCGACGACAATCGTTCGCGATCGGCAATGTCGTACATAGTGTCTGACAGTTGTGCATTAAACTTGCTTAAAATAGACTTCAAGGAAATGTAATTCTTACTTGAAGATATTATTGGAATGTGTATCATCATTTATCAATTTAAAAATCAGAAAATTGAAAAATCTAAAAATTTAAAATCTTTTCTCACGTAAAATTATAATCAACAAATATTTGCACAACTGTTCAAAACTTTTAAATTTGCAGTTAGCACTTTTGAAAGACTTTCAGCGAGATTACCGTGAGAGTTAAGTTTCAAGAGAGAAACTCTGAGAAGGAGCTCTTGGAAAATAATCATGTTCAAGCATGGTGAAATGAAAATTGCATTACTTCGCAAAGGTCGCGCGAGACCGAAGCCGACCCTCTTAATATAACGCAATTTTTATTAAATGTAATGCTTTAACAACTTGACATAAATACCTTTCCTTGTGCAAACTGTTGGGGACCGGTCTTTAACGGAACTATGCTTTCACGGAGAGCTGGTTCGGAGGAGGGTGGGCGAGAGGGGTCGTGCAAAGATGTTCTATATATTCTTACTTTTGCATATAGTATCAAAGAATGCAATAATTATTCTCGCGTCACTCTTCCACTTTCCCTTGAAATATTCTGTTGATATTTTTTCCGAATATTGCTGTGACGTTTCTGTTGTAATTGCAGAGTAGCGTATTTTATATATTGCCGTGATAATAGAGACGATAGCTTTTATTAACGATTACTGCTGGAACAGTATTGATTTAGATCGACGTCTTCTCACTCCGCGTGTACATATTAATTTATTTTCACCGCAACCGCTCCTAATCGCGATAAGTTTTGCGATGTAACACTGCAACGTATTGAATATTAAAAAAAAGAAAAAAAAAGAAAATAGCACAGACAAATCCCATGCTGAGAAATGAGATGAGAGACGACGCAGCTGTGTTTAACGTGCGGTGAAGATATCGTTCGCCTGAGTCTGAGAATCGGGTACTTTTGATTTTTCTCGGTGCAATCGAATATCACGCTATCGTAATACAGTGCAGCGATGTTGCTTGTGTGCGTTTTAAAATCGAGAACTGGGTACAAAAAGAAAAAATGGAGCATCGCGTCGCGTTCTTTCAGGGTATAACGCGCGTTAATTACTAGAGAAAGAAAGCAAGATATATATATATATATAATGCTAGCGTATTGATATTTTCATTACGGCAACACGATACATATCAGTACACATACATATCAGTAAATTATAAAAATTATATAAATATATATATAGAATGGAGTAAAGCGGTGCCGGGTTCTCTCGAGGTAGCGCTCCCTGTCATGCTTTTCTTTTACTTTAAAGAGAAAATTTACGCGTTACGAGTTAGAGATTCTTATATATATATACATATATAAATAAATAAAATTGTGCTATCTGCGACAATCGAGAAACAGCGGACGGGTGAGTCTAGCGACACCTTTTTTTTTACCTCGAGAGAATTCTCGTTGATGAGTAACGACATATCTATCTACTAAGCATATCTTCTAGTCGAAAACGATTGAGACATATCTTTTAATTAATATAATGTATAAGCGAATCTAGGTATATACATATATTATATAGACATATATATATACATAGCGAATACATATCAACAGAGAAATCACTTTTATCAGATGGTAGATAATATTTTGGTATATAAAGAAGAAAAAAAAGGTGTAACATTCCCTCCAGATGTCAATTACGGTCCAAAGTAGGGCCTGGACCGAGGGCAAAATCCGAGGGAACTTGTGTGTGTTAACGAACAACCGAACGGGGCATCACGAGGGTCAGAGCGCGTCGCGACATCTTTCTCTCTCCGCCTCTCCGTTACGTGCCTTGACCCTTTGGCCCCAATTTTGAGTAAGTCATAAGGTCAAATCTATCTCCCCCGAGAGCGGCAGATCAGAGTTCCACCAATACCTGATTATATATACTTATATATACTACGTTTCGGACACGCGTCATACATTGTCTTGAAATGTCAAGAGATTGTATCTTTTCTCATTCTGTCCTATATATATATTTTATTATCTATATGTTTTATTATTAATCTTTTTTTTATATACTAATTGCGCACGTGGAATATTTATTTTCTTTCTTGTAAAAATGAGATGAAAATAGTTTGAGAAATGTATTAATTTCTCAATTTGTTACTGACTGAAAAAGTCGACAGAAATTTATTTCACACTTGTTTTGTTCAACAAAATTATTTCTCTCTCTCTCTCTCTTTTTCTCTTATTTAGATTTTTATATTAATTTTTATATTAATTTTGAATTTTATTCTCATTTATGAAAACAGATTTGTGTTAAGAATATTCTATTCTTGACAGTTTAATTAAGTTGTGACATAAATATGTTCAAGTCATATCATCATATCAAAAGAGAATATATTTCCTCTTTTCCAAAAAAACTGATTTAGATTTAATTGATATTGAAAAAAATTAACCGTTATTTAATTAACATTTTTTAACTAGTTTTAATTATTTTATTATTAGAATTAATTTTTTCTTAATAATTTAATATTTGATCTTATCATTTAAAAATAAACTACTAAAGTAAATTTTAAGAATAATGATTTTAAAATACATTTTCTCATGAAATCACTCCCCAAGATCTGCATTTGTAGATTGTTTTAATCAGTAATTTTAATTTCAACATTTTAGGAAAATTGTTGATCCGTCCACAGCGTTTCGGTAATAAACAATTCAGTCGTTTAGCGTCCTACCGTGCCCTTTGGCATTATTTACCCTCTGATAAAGGGTAAATTTAAATGGCTGGTTAAAAGCGATGTGTCATATGCCAAAGGGAGATTATAAAATTTTACATTTCCTGTCTAGTGAGCATTAATTAATTTTGAAACCACATAACGCAGAACGATTGTAATAAGTAAATCTACAATGCACGATGAGCAGTAAATATTTCTACTTTTATTATTTAGCAGTTGTGTTATGTTTCTTCATATTTGATCTAAATAGCAAGACTTAAAAAAATTGAGAAAAACATTAATTAGAACACTAATATGATACAGAGCATTCTGCAATAAAAAATGCGAGATATGTTGTAGCAACTTTTATGAAAATATCTTACCTGGATCGGCTATAATATGCGCAATCGCATGGATAATTTATTAATACATAAAAGATATATAATACTTTTTGTAGGTATATGCGTTTACCCACATGTATGCACATAACATATATATTATAATACGTTGTTTCATCCGTAGTTGTTTTATTACTTTCATTGCTTATTTATATTGACTGTTATATTATTATTACAATACATATATGCATTGCTCTCTTAGATGTTAAGTTAATCAATAAATCGAAGTGATTATATAAGAGACATATGTAATCTTCAACCTTGTCATTTCAAGCCAATAGAATGCACGCGGCATATGCATATACAAGATATATATGTATAAAAAAAGCAAAAAAACGTATTGACCATCTCTTAATTATCGAGATTTAACAATGTGATAATGTATTAAAGTGTCACGCACCGTCGTATTGTCTATGTTACTTTTCGACTTCTAATTGTTCTACTGCCAAAGCGTTTCTTATTATACGGCAAACTGCGACATACTATATGTACACTGTAAGTAACCCTCTGCTTCTTAAAGTTTTGTACTTCTATTCATTGGATACAGCATTCTTGGGGATAATTTTGTCGCGCGATAATATAATCATTGAATAAAGCGGATGTTTCTTCAGTTTTAATTGCTAGACTTGAAATTTGCACATCACACGTTACATGTATGATTTCACCGTGCGTGCGAAGGTAATATACATTGCATTATTATCTGATGAACATGAGTAGTCACGTATCTGCAGTCACGAATCCCGCCTGTGTAATCACAATTTGAAAAGATTAGTTTCTGCTGTATCACGTCTCTTTTGCATTCGTTTGTACCATTTTGTTAACGATGTAATATGATATTCTGATCTGTATAGCATTTGCTTTTCTCTTTCTCTATCTCTCTCTTTCTCATTCGGCACGACCACTATGTCTGTTAAGGAACAGGAATTGAACGAATCTCACTACTTCAGATTGTATGCTAGAAAGGATCAATTGGAATGTCGTGGTATTATTTCAAACAGCTTGTTTTTGGATCGTTTAAACAATAAAATATTACAAAAGACTTCTGAAAAAAATTATCTATTTATTTAAATATCCATATTGCTGCATTAAATGTCACAGAAAGTATCGCTTGAACACATAACTATTCATAGGTAGATATATTTGGTTCAATTTCCATCTAATTCCGTCTAATCTGCTCGGTAATCAAACAAATTTTTCATCGGTTGGTTTCACCAGTTCGTACTTTTCCGTGACTCCACCGATGGTCGTCAATTCTTTCACCAAACTTCGTATATCGATTTTGCGAGAAACTATTAATTTACGTTCATTATCGGAGCCATAGCTGCGTGATTTAAGACCCATTGTTCGCGCAATTCTAAAACAGATTAAGATAGTCTCATCAAATATAAACAAAATTTTTTTGCAAACGTGCGGCTCCAAAAATACATACTGATGGATCATCGCTCTTTCTTCATTGGTAAAGTCCAAAAATACAATGTCATTTTGCATATCAGTCTTGAGAAAATCTTTAAATAGCTTTTGACATTTAGCCTTTATTTCACGCGTTGTGTAAGAATTACCTTTCAATCCCAGACCTTTCCGGCTGATTTGTGACTGGACCCTGCAAAATAAAAAAAATAAAATTTTTTTATGAAATTAAAATTTTTAAAGAAATTATCAAGAAATGTTATTAGTTACTAACATCGCAGACATAGGTTCTAAAATACCCTGCTCCGATTTTCCAAGTCCACCGCCAGTCCAGCCCATCATTTTCATCAATTTGTTTCCAATGCTATCAGATTTCCAATCATCACCAGAGGTACTTTTTTGCGGTTTCATGTCCTTCGTTACGGTCACATTTGATTTTGCATCAAACTTTTGTTTAACCTAAATTATAAAATATATGAAGTTCATAAAAAAATATTTATATATCTCTATTTCGTTATCTGTAGCTATTATTTGTTATAAATAAACATCGAAATATCTTTTTCCTATATTCCTATTCATATTCCTATTCGAGTAAAATCGCAATTTTTTTTCTTTTTACTTTAACAGTATAGCAATGCCTTCTTAATTCGTTTAATGCGATGATGGCTGCTTCAATTTTGGCAGTTTTTTTATTGGAATCGGCGTAAGATGCCAATTTTGAATTCATATAAATGGTGCATTTCCTAAAATAAAATATAATGAAAAATTATCTTCTAATAATCTTTGCAACTATACAAGTTGACAAACATTGTGTTTTACATGTCAAAAATTTGGTAAGTTTTCTTTAATATTATAAGAATAAGCTTACCAAATTTCTTGCTTCTGAATATATTTCCATTCTATATTAGCACCAGCTATATTAGCTGAATTGTGCAATATAACTTGTGGATTGTCACCTGGTCTTTCCCACAAAATAATATCTCCATAAGGATTATTTTTAACTGTTACATTTTCCTCTGTTTTTAATCTTTTAGAAGGTATTTTCTCAGTATCAGATTGATCGTAAGATTGATACTTGTGACTAGTTGTATTGGACATAGATGTTTTCATGGCATCAGAAAGTAATTTTTTAGCATCAGGTTCTTTAGAAAATGGTTCGATGTGATCAGTAGCCTTTGACGTTTGTGGAATAGATGTGTTTGATGCGTGCTCTTCTGTGACATTAGATGTTCGAGCAATACATCCTACACAAAAATAACATTTCAAAATTATTACACAAATTATAAATTGTATTTAATATATATATTCTTATAATGAGTACGTATATTTGAAAAGTTAAAACTTTCAAATATAATACAAAATGCACTGTAGAATTGAATATAAAGAAAACAAACAAAATGTGTAAGCTATAACTCACAATTTTTTTTTATACCTTTGACCTTAGAACTAGCTGCTTCTGACGCTTGCACAAATGTTCTTTTTAACTTTTTCTTTTGTTTTTCTCTATATTCAGCTGCAACATCTTCTGATAGTTCTTTTACCAAATCCATTGTTTCTTGCGGATATCTACAAGAATTTATACAAACTTATAATCATGAAATACAAAATTTATATGTACTTGTATATATTTTTCTAAAAAAATTTTTATTTTACAAAAATGATAGTATAGCTTATATAGACATCATCAATATCATACCTGCATCCTAACAATTCAATATTAACGAATACTTGAGCTAAACACACAAGTACATCCTCTGAGAATTTGTCTTTATGAGCTAATAGAAATTTGCGCCTTAGCTCCCAATGTTCGTCAGATTCGTATTCTACTTTATACTGTTCCACATCCTCGTTTGTACTCATTTTCACTTTTATCACTTTTATCACTTTTATCACTTTTATGTCGTCTTCGACAAATATTTCAGTTTTAGTAAATCTGTTCGTAAATATTCCAATCTCTGTCTTGTAAATATTGGGCGCTTTCCATTTAGCGACACAAGTCGACACAAGATCAAGTGAAAAAGAAAGATAGAATAATGCTTGTGTCGATTTGTGTTGCATGGAAAGCACCCATAATACACTTTGCAATATCTTTTTATCCTTTTTTTAATTCAAAATTTTTTAAAGTTTAGGCTGTCGAATTTGCTAATGCCCGATTCTACTAACGTAGATTAACTTTAATCTCGGTTCAACTTACTTTTCACCTTTTTCTAATTCTTAGAACTAGAGTTTTTAGCTACATGGGACTGGTAGAGAAATTTTTTACGGAACGGAACGTGAACGGAACACTCAGACTGCTTTCACATGAGTCGTAACTTGCGTAAGCGTAATTTATGTCAGTCAATCAAATCATTCAGCTATCATATGCAAAATTTTGCGTATAGTATCTGAACGATTTGATTGGCTAACACAAAGATACGCTTACGCAAGTTACGCTTCATGTAACGGCACCCTAAGACCGTCTCAACCAATGAGCATGTTATGTAAATCAATATGGCGCTTTTATGCTAGATGTTCATTGGTCGAGACGGTCTTATGCTATGCATATACAGTTATGTCATTTTGTGTGTGATGGCCTTTAGTATAGCATACATGACGTAACTCTACTCAGTGTTGCGATATGAGACCGGTTGTATGCGCATGTGCGGCAATACGGCGTCAGTAGTGTCTCATACAAATTAAACAAGGCACCGTTACCCCGCTACATTAAAATATTTCTAAATTTTTTGAAATTGATTGAAATTTTTTACTTCTTGGTTTTTTAGCTGCTGGCTCCGTAGATTCCATGCTTGTAAATAAATAAATCTTACCTTATTTGTAGTCACCAGACCTTCTCATGTCAAAACGTCCCGCCATACGGTCAACACATAACATATAACGGCACTGGATCTCCATCACCGCACATGCGCATACAACCGGTTCCATATCGCAACACTGACTCTACTGTATAGCACTTATAACGAGAAGAGAGAAGAGGTTAGAAATACCGGTGATCGCATGGTGTATATTCAGGTACATGAAATTCTTTAACTTGTAATTGGGATATATTAAAAGTTAAATAAAAGCATGACATTGCCAACTTCGGCGAAGGTAGGAATTGGATGGTAGGTGTGTATGATACATCCAAAAATTTCTACTAGTTATTTCGCACGTATGATCCTAACAATACTTGTGCATTAGCATTAATTTTAAATTTTATTGAGAAAAACTATAACAATTATGGCTTTCAAGAAGTACATAACGATTTTTAATTATATATTTTGATATTTTCATAGTTTTTAAACTTGAACTTCTGCATTTGTTAGTCTTGTAAACAAATTTAAATAAAAATTTATGTATAATTGTAAAATAAATTAATATACACTATTTATATAGGTCCATAGCTACTATCCTAGGAATTTACGGATTTGTGCTGTCCAAGGAAAGTGTCAATGCCAGAAGATACGAGATTATGAAAGCAAGACAACGGTTGCGTGACACCAATGTTGTAGATTAATTTTTTATTAAAAAAACGAAATATTTAAGCAAGACATAATTAAAATACAAAACTTGAAGAATGGCGACGTTACCACAAATGGACGAAGATAAACTTAAAGCGGTGCAGGAGTTGGAAATAGAATTGATGTCAGATATGTATAATCGTATGACATCGGCATGTCATAGAAAATGTATAGCATCAAAGTACGCTGAGGCTGAACTAGGCAAAGGAGAATCAATATGTCTAGATCGTTGTATCGCTAAATATTTAGATGTTCACGAACGTATTGGCAAAAAACTCACACAAATTTCAATGCAAGAAGCAAAAATTGCAGAACAACCAAAAACAAGCTAAATCTACTATAATTAGTTGCATTTAGCAAAATTTTTGTGGAAATGTGTCTTATAAATCGACTTCATTTGATTAGTGTACAATTCTGAAAGATGTATACTTTATATATAAAATAAAACAAAAAAATAAACTACTGCATTATTCTGTATTTGATTCAGTTTATAAATAAATTAAACTTTATAAAATATTAAAGATCTCTCTCTACATTTCTCAAAAATTGATTAATATTCTTCTCTGGAGGTAATTGATATAATAAAATATATTAAATTATTTTGTCAATAACTTTGTTTTAAAATAGAAAATTTATTTTAAAAAAATAAATATTTATCGTTTTATACACAATTTTTCTACAGGATTTAATGTAATCAAACTAATACATTATTTATAAATGTTTATTTTCCAAGAATTTTGTATAATTCAACTTATAAGATAAAACTAATGAACACTATTGTAACACAATTTCAAATACAAATAATGCATATTATGTTAGCTAAATTTATGATTACCTAAAATTTTCACTGAACTTAAATAAGAAAAATTTTGCTACAGTACTTACACTTATTACTTGTAAGTTTAACAATTTTTATTAATTATTCAAAATATAATTTTTTGTCTTGCCAAAGTATTTACTTATATATACTTTCAGACAGAAACCTGGATTTACAAGTAGAAAAATTTGTTTCTTAGTAATACATGTACAATGATAAGTAGTAGAAGTAACATTCATCTAGAACACAATATATTATAGTAAATATGATTACGAAATTTGCGGCAGCACGACAGGTTATTTATTTTTAAAAAAGTTAGTTTATACTAGAATATTTCTAGAATATATTTTTTTGCTATTTCTAATAGAAAAATTAGTTTATATTATTTTTCTATTATCTCACTAAAAACAAGAGTAAAAATTTTATTCTCTTTTAAGTTCACAATTGTTTTTAGGATTCTAGAAGAAGAATCTTAAAAATTGTAAACTTAATAGAGAATAAAATTTTTGTTTTTTTGTTTTTAATGAAATAATAGAAAAATAGTATAAACTAATTTTTCTCCGTTATTGCTGTCCAAATTCGTATCATATGTACTATGTCTTGAAATGATATAATTTAATATTAACCAGCAGTTTTGTCTTTTACTGGACGAATTATTGCCAAAGCCAAAGTATGTTGACCACCGCCACTAACTCGTACCACTGTCTTACCTTCTAATTGCTTTCCTTTAACTAATACTGGTTCCTCGACATCTTTTACATCCCCTGTGCCAAGATTTCCATTCGTTCCCATCCCCCATGAATATAATTCACCTATTGTAATAAAAAGTGAAATATTGTATATGGAATTAATTATTTTTACGAAAGATGATATTACATTGTGTCCATATTATACCTGATTCTGTAATCGCAAAAGATTCTCTGCTACCGGCACCTACATCAATACACTTAGCAGAACGTAGAGCAGGGACTAATGTAAGTTCCTCCGCGTCCGAACAATTAGGTCCAAGTCCAAGGCGACCATATTCCTTGCGACCCAAGACAAAAACTTGTCCTTTGTCATCAAGGGCTATGGTGTGATGTTCTCCACTGCTGATATGTCTCCATATTTTGCCACTAAAGGTTTTCGACATTTGTGGGTGAAAGTGAGTATCTTGCTTTTTTAAACCTGAAATTTCAACAAATATATGAGAAATAAAATTGAAAACTGTATAATCTTTTTTAAAAATGTTTGTCTTACCAATTTGATAGAAATTATTTAGACCAAATACGTATATGTCCCCTTTCTGATGTTCCTTAGCAAATGTGCAAAAGTTTCCTGCCCATATATCATCAAACAGGAGTTTCTTACTGATTTTGAATTCAACTATGCCTGGAGTCAATAAGGGACCCATTCCTTGTCGCGTATTTCTGCTGGCTGTTCGTGCAGCTACTCGTCCTAGTTGTCCTTGTTCACCGCGTCCGCAGGTATATACACGTCCATTTTCACTAAGTAATACTAAATGATCACTCCCTGATGCTATTTTGACGATTTTTACATTAGGTAATACTTCCACAGGAAATCGTTCATTTCCTTTCAATGTTAATCCCATAGAACCATGTATGTCCTAGTTTACAAATCAATTTATTACATTAATTACATTTTTTTAATCAACAAATTGTAAATAAGCAAGGTTTATACAAGAATAAAAAATAGATAGAAAAATCATACCCTAAATGTACCCCATGCAAATACTCGGCCATCTTCTAACAATGCGGCACTGTGCGAGTCTCCTGTTGTCACCTGAATAGCTTTACCAGGTAATTCAACTATGCCTGGTACTGTCTCAGATCCTTCCTTACTAGTGTCTCGTCCAAGTGCTCCTTCATCATTACATCCAAAGGTCAATACTTCTCCTGTTTTTCTCAAGCATGCATTATGCATAGCACCAGCTGCTATATCTACAATGTCTTGGTACTCGGGTATAGCAGCTGGACGCATCTTTTCAGTAATATCTTCTCCAAGACCAAGTTGCCCAAAATCGCCTTGTCCAAATACGAATATAACACCACCCGTTATATTAAGTGAACGTAAGTCAGGCTTCACAGTTAATTCTACAAGAGAAATTTGTTCATATTATATTTGTGCAAATGATTCCTTAACACAAGAGAGAAAGAAAGCAATTTACATCAATCTATCAAAACTTGTATAAATTTTCGAAAATATTAATGTTTTTTTTTGCAGTCATAACATAAAAGATTATATGAAGACTGATCTTTTTATATTTGCTGTACGAAGCGTGCTCTCTCTCTCTTTCTCTCTCTATCCCTTAGCATTTGCAGCTACATAGGTTACGATATTTACAACAATATAACCCTTGGAAACAAGAGAAATTTTATAGAATAAAAAATTATTAATTTATACCTGGTTTCTTCTTGATCTGCTTCGGCGCTTTTTCCGCTTTTGTGGGATCTTCAGCGGATCGTTTTACTGCTCTTCTTGGCGGCACTGCAACATTGTTAGGTTAAGCTTGCAATGTGCTTTTAAAATGCTTATTATGACTGTCACATGTGACTGAGCAAATGTTTTTAATATTGTAGCATATATACTTACTTATTTTCGCTGTTATTTTTCGTTGATCGCTAATAAATATCGCCTCGTGCTCTGTTGGCGCCAAAAGTTATGGTGCTCCGAGTTTTATGACTGTTGCGCAACTCACGAAGTACGATGAAGACCGGTTGGCGCGGTTGGCGCTAACAGCTGCTCCAGTACATTCAGGTGATTCTCATGTAGATTTAAATACAGCCTTTACTCACAGAACGTTACAACGAAACGAGAAACGAAGGAATTAGATTCACATGATCAATCTTTCTAACACAAGAAGTAATTAGATACTACATAATTTTTTTTTATTTTTATTTTCAATTCTTGTATTCTAACGTATTATATATAGAAACCAATGCACGACGTAAATCGGAAACGATTATCCGTTGAGGTACGTATGTACCATATTTTTTAACCTTTTTAGTTTTTTATTTTACTTAAAAACATATATCTAAAACAGAGATTTTTGTATGATTTTTGTGTTTATGCGAACGTAAGTTTGCTCGTAAAACATTATGACTTCAGAGATAACGATTAATATTTTATAACTTCTTACGATAAATCAATAAACAAATGCGAACGCTGTTTTCGTAAATATTACCAAGAAGCTTCATAAAATTGACTACGGCGCGTTAAGAAACTTTAAGATTCTGCGGTTTAATATCCCGGACGGTTGCCAGGTTAACATCATTTTCTAGCGAACGAAACTTAATACCGTAAGATATTAAGAAGATTTTTAAGATAAAAACTATTTTCTCTCTCTTTCTACGATGATGATATAAGATCAGTCACGATGAAATATAATCTAAAACGGCAAGGTATTGTTTTATTATTCGTGCTAGAGTGTGTTTTTCGTTAAATATATGCTTATAAATTAAATTGTGCATGTATATACATTATTTCATTAAATGGCTCTTTTAAATAAATTTTAGACAGATATTTTCAATTTTATTTTAATTTACATTATATAAAAAGTCATGAATAATAAATTGATAGATTATGTTTGACTAATATTTTATTAGTACATTTTTCAATATGCTGATTGGTTACCGAGAAAAAGACTTTAGTAACTTTTTGCTTGATAGCCAATCAGCACATTTCAATGTAAGTGAGGCCTTAATTAACGAAATGATCTTCGATCAATAGTCAATATGACGGCACGAGCGCAAAACGGTAAAAGACGGTTCTCTTTTTCCGAATAAAATTCGAGTGAGATTTATTTAGTGTTTGTGTTAATCGTTTGTCATAATCGTAAATTAAACGTTGGGTAAACAATCGTAACGCAAATTAATCGGATAATCGGATGCCGTTATCTTAAAGAGAACGATTATCAGTTCGTTGGAATGGGCTACATTACTTTGCACAATCTATTGCCGCGTGAAGTTGCCGAAATTCGGCGAAGTTGCCGACGAAAAATATTTAAGGGTTACAACTGTTATAATTTCAGTGAGTACAATTTTCTTTATGGATGCGACATCCATGATGTATTGTCATAGAATCTCATACAATTATCATAAAATTATGCATTATGTAGAATTCTATAAAGTTGATTTCACAATTGCTGTTTATAATATTGAGAAAATATTTCTTGCAATTTCTTTTTCTAGAAATCTGTAGAGGTATAAAAAGTTTTATTACATAAGAACATTAAAATGTCAATCATTTTTTGGTTATGAACTATTAAAAAATATAGATCTCTCGAATTATAAGAAGTATAAGAATAATTGCTTGATATTTTTATAAGAAGTTTGTTACAAAATATTTGATATTTATGCTATATATGTGGGAAAAATATTTACATAGATTTTTGCGTAATTCTATTATCTCGAATAAATATAGAGATAATTTATGTGCGTCTCCGTCATATTTAGATTTGTAAGCATCAAAATTACACATACGCACACATACAATGTTTGAATATTTGTAAAAATCTAAATCTAATCCCCATATGTTATATATATGATACATATATTTCGATTGGCTACTGTGTGTGTGTGTGTGTGAATGATTCAGAACATGTTAAATAAACATTCGAATTATAAAATCTGTCAAAATAATATAACTTTGATATTTTTTCACTGATAATTTATTTTTAATATTTTTTTCAGATTATTTGGAGTATTTTGCCCAGTATGTGCGTGAATAGATCTATAAAGTGTGAGAAATCTAGCCAAATTTTTGAAAAATTTATTATTATTTGCCAAGACGGTCACATAATAGTAATAAAATATGAATTAGCACGCAATGGGGAGGATGACCGCGGGAGTTTGGTACCCGAGATACAGCGGTGGGGCGTGCGGAAGGGTGCAGAGTGCCGGCCGGTTATTAGAGAGGTCGGATACGCGGAAGCGCGCCAGTCGACGGCGAGACTTCGCCCGCGCAGCTTCCTTTTGTTTCTTCTTCGTCACCCATCTATCTGGCCGTTTATCATCCTCCTTAAATTTCCGTTGCGATTAACGCACAAAATCGGATATTTCACTTTTTGCGTGGATGTCTTTTCGGAATTTTCACAAGAAAGTGAGAAGAGGATAATCACGTGACAATTGCGGAAGGAACAAAGGATCATCAAAACAATCGAAAGTGGTAACAACATCGGGGATCTTCACTTTGATGAATAGGATCGTTTGATGTAGAACCGAAGAGCTATGACGAGGACGACACGTCGCTTTTTGCTGCTGCAGATGCTGATAGGCGGTGAGTGATTTTTTATATATCTCTTTCTCTGTGTGGAAAACATGTGTAAGACCTTGCATTGCAGAACCAAAAAATAATCGTTATTGTTTTAATATTTTATGTTATGCAACAAGTAACAAGTGGTAGAACAAATTTTATTATTGTTAGATTTCCGCGTATTACGTGAGATTTATAATCTTTGCTGTGTGAAATAATTTTAATTACACACACGTGAAAAGATATAATATTGAGTATATAATAATGAGGTATGATAAGGTATAATATATAATGAACAACAAAAGGTAAGTCAACGGAAAATATATGTATAATTGATAAGATACATCTCGTTATCGCATTGCATTACAAAAAAAAAATGGTAAAACAACTGATTCGAAAATATTTAATGTACCAATTCAAATTACCATGTGAATCATGTGCTGAATAATAAATCGTTAAATTTGCCATTCAATAATAGATGCATACGCGCCTCGAGATCAAAATGCGGTATCGAACATTACGAGTACATTTAGCAAATCTGTAAATATAAAAAAATATTTTACCTTTTTGCTCTGAAAAATCAAGGATTAAGAACGAATTTACATATTTGATAAAATCTTATTTTATCAGATGATATTATCGCGAATAACACAAACCGACAAATTAAACTCACTTTACAAGATAAATACTCACTCTGTTATTATCAAGTGGATAAATGACGCAAACGTGATCCTTGCATTCTCCGTTCTTTGCGCAAGTTGCTTATCTCTTGGGGCGGCGATTTCTTGGTAGTCGCGCGACTTGTTGAGCCACTACCTTCTTGGTGGCGAGAATGCGAGGCATGCGCCGAATACGCGTGAAACAAAACATAAATTTGGAACGAAATGCGACGAAAATGAATTGATCTTCTTACTCGAGCAAACGCATCAGCGTTTTCTCAATCAGACTGAGTGGTTACCGTGTACGTCACGACACTTGCTATTGGCAGCACACACACGTGCTTTTAAGAAATACAATACCGTCTTCGGAAAGTCGTCGAGTGCGAACTTGTTCTATACATCGTATTTCGGATTCGATGGATTGCCTATGTCATCGTATGAAATCGGGAAAGCACTCGGAATATTAAAGAGCATGTATGCGTTGTTGCGCAACACATTCGCGAAAATCTACTACTGCTGTCGTGTATGTTATTTTTTTTACGTTATGGAAAATATTGAAAGTATTTGCGTCATACATTGAATGTAAAAATGTAATTTGAATTTCCGCTTTAAGAATTTGTTGTGAAAAGTATCAGGAAATAAATGGTAGAACTTTTTTATTTTATCTATTTTTTAAATATTTTGTTTTTATATCTTCAATAATCATACAATTTTTATTTAATTTATACAATTCTGAAAGGTTTTAAAAGTTCTTCTAAAGCACACAATTACAATCGAGATAACTTGGTTCGGTGTCAAAAAAAAAAGTCAGCAACATTCGCGCTCGAGCGAATTCGCGTTTCATTTTCAGAGTCGAATCGTAAGATATTTAGAGAGAGAGAATTCGCGTTCGTCCTTTTACGCACCCTCAAAGAAGATACGTTTTCGCTTTTAATGTTTCTCATTCGCGGTGGATAGATGTTTATTCATCTTCCGTTCCGGTACGCCTCAAAGCGTTTAAGTTCTTCGTTTGTGAAACGGGATATGATGTTCGTTCGCATGTCCATTCCGCGGCGCGTTGCAGGCGTGAAGACGGAAACGGCAGCCGAAACAAAATTGAGAAAAAAAGCCGCCGTTAACCCAGTTTCTTCGCTATCAATCATCACACGGTATTCCGCGGCACATCAGGCGCTGATAGAATTTCTGATGAAAAGAAATTGAAGAAAGATAGCCGTTCCTCACGACAGAATTATACCAAATGCCTTCAAAAAATTTGCGGATTACAGAGCATTTTTACGCGTCGTTTCTTTTCGATTTGAGTTCTAATAAATATTTATACTCGATATTTTTTTAAGAAAAACTGCGTTGTTTTTTTTAATATTAAAGATTCACAGATGAACAGAGAAATTAAACTTTTGCAATCAATTTTTATAATTCTCTAAATCCACTTAAAAATATCTTAAACAGAAGTTTTTCCTTTTATTGTATTTATGTACTTACACTCAGACTAATTTTATAAAATTATTTTGTATTTTTAATACTTTTTTTTAAAATATTATTTATAACTGAACATTAAAATAGCGATTATTTATCTATGGTTCTGCAATAGCGAATGTAAATATATAGAACAAATATACAAAATAAAACAGTGTCGAATTGATATCACATATAGTGAATTAAATATCGGTAAATACTGATAGACATAAAATATTATTGGTACTTCTCTTTTAATTTTTATTTAAAGCTATACATATACATGGCAAACATTGATATTTTAATTTTACATATTATAATAATAAAGTTAATATTGTTCCTCTAAAGGCATATTTTTATATTAAAACTATACTGTCATAAATTCGAGAACTTGTATTTTATAAACGTGATATCTGAACGAATTTGACAAATGAACTCTCGCGAAATGGCCACTGTGACATATCGATGTAAACGAAACATACATCGTGGAAAATACTATAGGAAATAAAAACAGTTCGGATAAAGTTGGAAAAATTGAAGGGACAGCGAGGACGTGTGCATTAAATCGTAAAGCCGCGCGAAACGATCGTGATATTGCCGGCTCGAATCCGTCAGGCTGCGGGATATGCGCTACACGAAACAGATCCGCGAACGGCGGTGGCAATCCGGTGGTGTAAGAATAGCGAAAACGTCGGGATCGATCCGCTTAATCCTCTTCGCTGCCGCGTCGGATCGCGTTTTCCGCGTAAGCGCGCCCCAAATCGTGCAAGCGCTTTTCTCTCCCTTAGAAACGCAGAATTATTCAATAGTCGGCGTGCACAGGAGTTTCCTCACAAAACACCGTTCGCTGAACCGCGTGAGTGCGCCAAAGAAAGACAAATTCGAAAGGTACGCCGATGAAATGCACGGGACATGCGCTCGCATTCGGCACCTCTCGCAATCAGCGTGCGCGAGTGAAATAAAAGAATTAAAGCGATAGCTTTTTGTAAAACGTAGCGAAAAAAAGAAAATGTAGGTGACCCGGTTTCTCGTTATCAATCATCGACTGGACATTCGGCACAAGAGCCAGGCAAGGCGGATAGACACCGATTGAAAATTTCTCCGATAGTGAAGCACGTGCGTGCGTTGCATATTTCACGGCTCGCAAAGATATTTCCGCGTAACGATTTTTTTCTGTTTTCGAAAAAGCTAGTAGTGCGTTTTTTTCTCGTCCGTCACTCGAAAAGTTACGCTCGCAATCCATTACAATTGAATCACTTTAAAATATCATTTGATTACATGCAATGTGGTGGATCGTGAATAAAAATATTAATTTACGCTAAAACGTATAAGAGAGTTATACGCTTTCCGCTTAGTTGCTTCTCAAAATGCATAGAGGCAGGACCGATAATTTGTCGGTATGTTTGTATGTGTAGACCAAGTTTCGATAATATTCACACTGAAATAGTACGTATGTCCGTGGAAAAGTCCTAGGCCGATAGGAAATCGCATCATGTCTATCGGAGCACGTCATTCGTCGCTCACAAAATCGCAGCATCCGCCGTGCGCGGTTCATATTGCCTGCGGCTGGCAATTTGTCGATCTTCTAACCGTGGGCTGATGCGCCGATAGAAACATCAGCTCAACAGAATTTATCTCTATTTTTTGCTCGTATTTATCAGATTGCCGCAATTTGCGTTTGATGCATTAAAGAATAAAATAATGGTCAGAATTTGTCTTTAACGAAGAGAGAGTAGTAGACATTTTAATTAATCTTTGATGAAATATTGATTAATAAAATATTGTGTAAATCAATTAGTTAACAATAAATATCAAAGTTATACTTTATACTGGACACTTATGTATCATATTACTATTCTTTTAAATATTTCTTTTAAGAATATTTTTAAATTTATAATATATGCATACATAGAGAAAAAGAAAGTTTCGACTTACTCTTTAAAGCTAAAATAACTTACAGCAGTCATAAATTATATAATAGATATTTTTATTTATATTTTCACTGCATAAATATTTCATAAATTTAATCAATATGCGATTCACACATTGAATGTATACTCAACAGTTTAAGAATATATTAGTTATTTTTATAGAATAAATTTTCTCACACGATTATATGAATAACATGCGATGTAGAATAAAGCGATACTTTTTTTTTTACGCGTGATTTGATAAAGAGCCCGATAATGTCCGTTAATATTCATTATCGCCGAAAAAATATTCATCGACATTCGTGACACGTTCAATAGAGGCAGGCAGCAGCAGGGAGGTTTGCGAATTGCGAGATTTCCGGGAGGGTGGCGCGACATCGATGGTTTTCTGATTGACGAGCAGGCGCGGCGCGCATATCAAAAACAGTATTAATTAGCCGTCGAATCGCCGTTGATTTCCGACAAAGCGCCGTGCCCCACGCGGTTATAACGCGACCATTCGTCGAACGGCTGTGTTTATCAATTAGCCATGGTGCACATGGTTGCATCCGGGTTAATGCGCATGCATGCGGACAAAAAGTCAGCGAACAGGCCAATCACGTTAATATCGCAATTATCGATCGTGGCGCGACTGCCATTTCAGATTTCCCCTGCCAAGTTGTGATGCTGAAAAATTTTTTTTTTGTAATTTTGCCATTTGTTGTGCATCATAAATATATCATAGATAATTGATTGATCGGTCACGTCTGGCCAATCGAACCAATATTATTGGTTACGACCGTCTTACAACAGTAACGATAAAAGAAAAGCAGCGAAACAGAATCGCAGCGTTTAATTGCCGTTGAGTAGCGCACTTCGCGGCTTAGGACGTTCGTATTTTAACAATCAGGTTTCTTTATCGAAACAGAGCTTCTCGAGATTCGTACTTCGTTCTTCCGGGAAAAAGGGAAGGAACTCAGAAGAGGGAGAGAAAGATTCTTTC